AGCCTGGGGCGGTCTCGACCCTGCTCTGCAACAAGCAGGACAGCAGGACCCCGACCCTGCTGTGCGCTACCAAGGAAGCCTGCTGAGATACTCACTTCCAGGTCACCTCCAGGCTGAGTTTGAGGGTGCCCAAGTCATTGATATCTACAGCCACTACTTGGGGCAGAGCCGCAAAGAGGTCCTTGGTCTCGCAGGACACGTTGCCCACCACGACGTGGTTGGCCAGGCTCTTTAGCTCTGTCACCTGGAGAAGGAGAGGACAAGATGAAACCATGGGCTTCACACTCTCCGTGCTCTTTACCACCAGATGGCCTCCTCCCACCCCAGCGAGGGTGAGGTTTAGGTGTGGTCCAGGAGGGAAGCCCTGCCAGGATGCAGGGTGGCAGCTGGCTCACACCATCCCTGCCCCCTTCTGCGCCCTACCTTGATGGAGAGGAACTCGGTGACAAGGGGCAAGAAGACCATTTCCTCGCTGTCCCACACCTGCTTGCTGTTCACCTCGATGCGGCCTCGCAGCTTCCACCTCTGCCGGCCGTACTTCATGAAGATCTGGAGGACACAGAGACGTGGGTATGGGGCAGATGAAACACCAGGGTGTTGGGGGGCTCTCTGCGCACCCCCTGAGGTGTGTCTGGGGACCTGTGCCACCCACCACCGCCCTGCAACGAGCCCTCCACACCAGCATCCACCTACACCCTTCCCTGCCCCAGGCACCCTGAGGGCCACAGGGCAGAAGAAGAGCAGATCCCAATGCACATGGTCCCACCAACCTCATACTGGTCACCGGCACAAAGCCGGGCAAAGCCCGCCAGAGAAGGCAGAGGGAGGTCAGCGGGCGGCGAGGCGGGCGGGCACAACAGCGGGTGAGGGACGGAGCGAGACTCTTTTACCTTTCATCCGGACGTGGAACTCGCCCAGCTGGCTCTCCAGCTCATTCTCCAACAGACACATGTTCTGAGGACAGATGCACAGAGAGCAACCTTGTCAACAGCCACCCCCCGAGGGGACCTCAGCGTGCTGCCAGCCCACCCCAGCCACTCTGCCTCACCTCTGTGTACTCCTTGTAGCCCTTGTTGGCCTCGGCCAGGCTCTCGCGTGCCTCCCGGCTGCCCGGCGAGCCCGTGCTGTAAGCCTTGACCATGTTGTGGGCTCCGTCGCGGAGCCGCCGTTGGATGCAATAAGCCTCGTAGAGCTCATCGATCTGCAAGGATGG